ATTGGCATTTTAAATTTTAACCTGCTGAATTTTCAAAAATGGACTTGCTCAGCCCTTAAATTTTTGGGGATTAGTCCCATTATCCATTATTGGGGATCGTCAAGAATTAAAATTAAGGATACCTGAGCAGTATATATTAGTGGCAGAGGCTTATCACTTACAAGTTTCCCTTTGACGTTTTTTTGACATGAAAGGGAAATGTAAAATATTTTTCCCCTGAGATAGGTGTATGATATTTTGATGTAGGTATTGGGACCCAGTAACTTACACCCCGGGTTTTCCAAACTTCCCCTCACCCCAATTTCCGAAAAATCTTTTCATAAAAATTAAATTTAAAATGACCCAAAATTTCCCTATTTTGATTTTAATTGCCCAACGAGATTTAAAAATTAAGCTGGCCAAAGGGGATGACTTTTTGTGGTTTTAGCTCGGGGCCGTTTACATAAAAACTGAAGGCCACAAACTTAAAATCACGTATTTGGGCCCCAGTAATTAAAATTGAAAGATAATTTTTCCCCCTGCATTTTAGGTCTTATGTGCAAAAAAACCCTTTTTTTTAAAACGAAATTAGATTTCTTTGCAAAAAAATTATTATGATGTAGAGGGAAAACTGTTTTTCATAAATTTTTCTTTTTTTTAAAAAAGGATTTTCCCCGAAAATTTGCTTTTAGTTTTGGGGTCAGGGGTAGGTCAGATTTTTTTTAAGGGTTTAAAGGGTTTGGGGTGGGATTAACCAAAAAAATTAAATTTTTTTTTAAAAAATGTTTAAAAAGAAGGAAACTTTTGGCTTAAGATCTAAAAATTTTTAAATGCTGTAAAAATCTTAAACATCCTATAAAAATTTTTTAAATATCTTTATATTTTTTAGGGGAATTTTTAACTCTGAAAATTGTCTAAAAATTTTATCTTTTGGGGGGAAAAATTTACTAAAATTTTTAGCCTGAACTACATGTCCTGAAAAATAGCAAAAATTCCCCGACCATAACATGCGGGGCCAATTGGGGTTTACTTTTTTGGTCTTTTGTAGGTAAAAATTAAATTGCTAAAGGAAGATTCCCCAAGTTTGGGGTAAAAAAGACAAATTTGTCCCCTTTGGGTTTAAACAGGAAAAAGGAAAATCCATTTGGTAAAAAAAGGGCTAAGTTTCACCTTTTTTTTTCCAGTGTTAAAAGGTTTATTGGGGAAAAACTTGCTAAAAAATCTCCCCTTTGGGTTTTCCAGTTTTTTGATTAAAAAGGCCAAAAAAAATTCCCCTTTGGGTTTTCCCAAGGAGTTTAAATTTTCTTCAAAATGATATATTTAAATTTGGGGCAAAAATATTTTTTCATTATTTTTTAAAAAATTTTGTTTCAAAAAAATTTCCCCTTTTTTAAAAATAATTTCCTGGGTTTTTAAATGAATTGTCTTTTTGTCTTGATTTGATTTTAAAATTTTTAAAAGTTTTAAAAAGACTGAAAGTATTAATTTATGTTGTTTAAAAAATTGGGTTAATAAAAAAATTTTGTTTTTGGGGTTTGGGGTAAATTTTCTGACCCTTTAAACCCTGGAGGGGTTTTTTATTTTATTTGGGAAAAAGGTCTTTCTTTGGCAAAAAACAATTTTTTAAATTTGAGTTTTCTCAATTAAAAAAAATGATTTTAAAGCAACTTAAAGAGGGCATTTGTTGGCTTCCCAAATTAAAAACCATTAAAAATTCTTTTTCCATGAAGGGAAAATTTTTTGGGGGTGGAAATTAAAAATTGAAAATTTGGAATACACAAAAATTTAAAAATTATTTTCTTCATTTTACCCCCCAGGGTGTTCAAAAAAAAAAAAATTTCAGTGTGTGTGTTTTTTGATTTAAATTTTTAAAATTCCCCCCGATTGCCCAAAAGGGGCGGTCCTAAAAGGAGTTTATATTTATTTTTTGGAGGATAGGCAAGGTACTCAAAAAATCCCCAAAATTTTCCAAAAGTTTTCCTTTTTTTTCATTTAAGTGTTTAAGCACTCCACGGCCCCTCATTTAAAGTCTCATTAAAAACCTGTTAAGTTTTTTAAATTTGGGCCCGCCCGGGAGGGAAACCCAAAACTTTAAATGTCAAGATTACAAGTATCTAGGGCTAGAAAAGGGCTAGAAAATTCTACTGTAAAGAGTTAGCAGCTCAATTTTTATGCTTTTGTGCATATAAATTTTCTGTTGTCCATCAGTCATGCTGCCTATCCGTAAGGCTGACAAATAGTATGTGGGGGGCATCTGTGTCTTCTAGTTTTAAATGATATTGAACAGTACAATTAACCAAGACAGGTGCTTTTATTCATTTCTTGATTATAGTTGTTATCAAACATTCCAGTAAACTGATATCTGTATGTCTTTTATGTGTAATGGACATTAAAAAAATTACATCCTGGTACATTGTCTAAATATTTTGTAAAGTATATATAGATCTCTTTTTTTACCTTGATAAATAAGGTGTTTTTTTTTCTGTGATAATATTTAAATTTTAAAGGCTATGTGTACTGCGACAATAAAAAAATTATATCCTGGTACATTGTCTAAATGTTTTGTAAAGTATATTTTAAGATCTCTTGTTTTACCTTGCTAAATAAGGTGTGTTTTTTTCTGTGATAATATTTAAATTTTAAAGGCTAAAATATATGAAAAAATATGTAAATTACCTCCATTTGGATATTGTCTTATTGTTTATAAAGGAGTACAACTGCATTAATCAAGCAGGAGGAATTTTGAACCAGTTTTATATAAAAGTATCATAAATAGGTAAAATGTGAATTCAATGAAATTTTTTCTTTACCGTTACCTTATTTAACCTGTTGAATTTCTTAAATGGACAGGTTTCTGTTTTGGAACTGTCCAGTATTAATTTTTGTGTCGCCTCTACGGAGTAGTGGCGACATATAGGGATCACTTCTCCGTCGTCTGTCTGTCCGTCTGTCCGTCTGTCTGTCTGTCTGTCTGTCCGGACGTCTGTCCGTCCGTCCGTCACAAAACTTGTCCGGACTACTCCTCATAAACTACTAGTGCAATTTCATCCAAACTTTACAGGAATGATCAGTACCAAGTCTAGTTGTGCATATTGTCAGGATTTTCCGGTTCAATGATTTTTGTCAGAGTTATGGCCCTTTAATAATTTTTAATTTTAAAGTTTGTCCGGACTACTTCTCTTATACCACTAATGCAATTTCAATGAAACTTTACAGGATTGATCTGTAGCTCAAGTCCTTGCGCATATTGCACGGGTTTTCCGCTTGAATGATTTTTGGCCGAGTTATGGCCCTTTGATAAAAAGGTTTCTTTTTTTGTGTGTTGCCAGATACACAAAAGCTTGTCCGGACTACTCCTCATAAACTACTGGTGCAATTTCATCCAAACTTTACAGGAATGATCAGTACCAAGTCTAGTTGTGCATATTGTCAGCATTTTCCGGTTCAATGATTTTTTGTTTGAGTTATGGCCCTTTAATAATTTTTTATTTTTAAAGTTTGTCCAGACTACTTCTCTTATACCACTTATGCAATTTCAATGAAACTTTACAGGATTGATCTGTAGCTCAAGTCCTTGCGCATAATGCACGGGTTTTCCGGTTGAATGATTTTTGGCCGAGTTATGGCCCTTTGATAAAAAGGTGTTTTTTTCTGTGTGTTGTTGCCAGATACGCAAAAGCTTGTCCGGACTACTCCTCATAAGCTACTGGTGCAATTTTATCCAATGATTTACATGATTGATCAGTACTTAGTCTAGTTGTGCACTGTCCGTCTGTCTGTCCGTCTGTCACAAAATTTGTCCCAACATGAAATTGGCGATTATGAGGCGACACATGTGATTACTGATCGCTCTTGTAAAGAATGATAAATGAAATTCTGTCAGCCAACAATTAACTGTACAGAGCCTAGAGCCATCTGACATCAACGATTGTACAATTTTAGAAATTTTATTGCACGATTTTGATCTACGTACAGTTTTGGAAATCTTAATGCACGATTTTGATTTATGCATTGTACAATTTTTTGACATCTTATTGCACGATTTTGATTTACGCATTGTACAATTTTTGACATCTTATTGCATGATTTTGATTTACGCATTTACAATTTTGGAATCTTATTGCACGATTTTGATTTATGCATTGTACAATTTTTGACATCTTAATTGCACGATTTTGATTTATGCATTGTACAATATTTGAACATCTTATTGCACGATTTTGATTTATGCATTGTAACAATTTTTGAAATCTTATTGCACGATTTTGATTTACGCATTGTACAATTTTTGAAATCTTATTGCACGATTTTGATTTATGCATTGTACAATTTTTGAAATCTTATTGCACGATTTTGATTTACGCATTGTACAATTTTTGAAATCTTATTGCACGATTTTGATCTATATATGCATTGTACAATTTTTGAAAATTTATTACACGATTTTGATCTACGCATCGTACAGTTTTGGAAATCTTATTGCATGATATTGATCTACCTTTGTACAATTTATATCATTTTATTGAACAATTTTGATTTACGCATCATACAATTTTGGAAATCTTATTGCACTATGTTGATCTACGATTGTATTGTACTTGATTGTATGATAAAAACGGATGTTCAACCATTCAATATGATGTGCCCTATATGGATGTACAGACTGGCAAATTCTTGAGGATTTAGTTAATTACAAAAGAATTTTTTCTACTATATAAACAAATTTGTTTCATGCTACCTAATATTATATCTAAGTGAAACTGACCTAGGACTGGAAGAGATATTTTTATTTAAAAGATCTTTAAAATATAGTAGCTGATGAACTATGTTTGAAATATAAAAATGAGTTAAAATGATTATAAATTTTAGAAAATTTACCAGGAATTAATGAGGAATCAAATTAATATTAAGAGCTCATTAAATGTGATGCTAGCTCCATAATAATTGTTATTAATTATTATTCACAACATAATGAATACATGTGATGAGAAATAATGACTACAATTCTTTTTTCTTTTCAGACTGAAAATGTCAATTTACATCTGTATATTAGTGCTGGTTCCCTCAGTTTTGACTTATTCTGCTGGGCCTCCATCAAATGCTTGCGACAGCATGACCCCTGGACACGGAGGATCAAGCCAGTCTTCAGCACCCCCATACCAAATTGTATTTCCTCAAGGGAAGACAACCTACTCTGAGGGTGAAAATATTCAAGGTATTAAATTTAAATCAGTTATCTCCCTGAAAATTGAAAAAAAATATATCTCCATGAGTATTTATCCTGAATTTGAACGGGCTTGCATGCCCTGCTTCAATTTTGGGACTGTCAGCTGTTTTCTTTGGATTCCTAGTCGGTTACAGATTGTTTATCATTTATTGATTAACGTGTCGTTGCCCTGTCCTTTTTGTGTTTGGGGTCCGCCTGGGCTCCTTGCCGTTGGTTCTTGTTGCTGGGTCATATGGGGGTTGCGTTCATTGAACGCCGCCTTTCCTTGTTGATCTTGTTTTTCATATTTTATAAATTTTGGGGATAATAAAATCAACAGGAAAAAATTAAAGTAGGTGGATTTTTTTATTTGATCATTTAAAACCATGAAACAACAAACAGACAGTCATGGTTGTATAGATTTGAAATTACATATTTTATGTATTACATCAATTCTGCAACCATGATAATACATTATGTAATGATCTGATCTTCTCCCAGCACCCTCAGTACTTTGATTATAAAAATCTAACACTGGTTGCTGGCATACCTGAATGGCAGACTCAATAGTAACTTTATACCATCTATGCAGCGCTACCTTAAGCATGTTTGATTATAGGAGTAAACTTGTGACAGTGGTCTTTATAATATAACTGCATAAATTAATATACTAGCTGGCTGGACTGTACATATTCTTTTATCACAATTAGCATTCATCATTTCGTTAACAGTTACCTCAGCCAGATAATGCCAATTATCTTGTCAATTTTTCAATTTGGACACAATTATTCATCATTTTAGCCTTAATTTGAAAAAATTAATATGTATTGACTGAATAGAGAAGAATGTAGACAATGTACAGGCAGCACAGTGGCATGGATGCCAGTGCAGAGTGAAATAAATACCTGTAACATACGTCACCGATGATAAACTTCTCAGATAAACGTTATTCATTGAAAAATCATTTATGATTATAATAATAATGTAAAAAAAATATTAAAATACAATTTATATAGTCTCACAATTGATACCACTGTGATTAGGATTTGAAAAACATAAAAAATACTCATCTTCACCACTTTATGACAGTTATAATGTTGGTGTATTTTTCATACAATACTTTTCCCTCAGTCAATTTAATATAGCATATTTTTATTAGCCTGAATATTTGAAGAATAGCTATTGTACTCACCCAGGTGTCTATGCCTCACTGTGGTTCATATTGGTATCTCAAAACTAGACTGAACTGGGCTTTCAAGTTGAAACTTCTCACAGTTATCTAAGAGGACAATGTCTAAGTATAGGTTAGTGTTTAATAATATGTATTAACAAAAATAATTGGTCAAGCGAGAAAATGTGAGAAAAATACATTAGAGATTATAAATTGATACAAATTCGGTTAAAATCCATGATTTGCTCATTTGAAAAACAGTTCACTTTTTCATTTTTCTGATTGTCAATTTAGGTTTACAGGTCCATGTACAATGAGTTTTCCAGCCAAAAAATGTAAACATTGTATTCTTTGAATATCAAGGATTGTTAATGCAGTTCATTCCTATCAACTGAATTTGGAAAATATAGAGTTTAAAACAGTCAGCAATTTATAACAGACATTTTTCTTAGAGTTAAAAGGATATAAAAAAGTTACTATGTAATCATTGTCTCTGCGTGCCCCACATGTATTATCTGTGTAATAACTTTGATTGTATCAAACACCTGACCTTTAAAAAGTAACGTTAGCATTGTTTTGAAAACCTAGATAATTTACAATTCAGAGTGCAAACCATACCTCTAACTCCTCCCTAATATAATGCATTATTGAAATTTGTTAGACTGCGGTTAGACGACAGATTAAGTGAATTTTATTTAGTTAGTACACATTAACCAAAGTTAGACTAAGCAGAAATTTGAAAAATACTGCAATGTGATTGGACAAAAAATAATGTTGATCATTAAGAGGTTCAAGGCCCATAATTCTAAGATGGATTTTGAAAGCATATTGGCCCTTTTTTAACCTACACTTTGTATATTGTCCAGGCTCTTGTATTTCTATCAATCACTCAGGCAATAGTTAACCCATTACTTCATATAACACGCCTTTTAACGCCTTTTTCACCCCCCCCCCCCCTTTTTGTTGTCTCAAATGATGAAAAAACGCCTTATTTAGGCCCCAAACACTTGTTTTTTGTTTGAGAAATGTTATTAAAAAAGTGACCTCTTTTTCGGCGCGGCCCCCCAACCAAAAGATACATCAGGGGGTTGCCAGAAGGGGGATGTGCCCCTTCTGTTTGGGGGTTTGAAGGGGGCAGAGTCCCCTCATCGCCAAGAAAATTTTGAACTTGTGAGAGGCTGTAAATGACCCAGATTGATCATAAGGTAACGTGTAACCAACGCTGAAAAGCATTTGACTCTATCTCAATCCATTGAAAAGTTGCAGCACTTTGAAATCAATTTTGATGGAAAAAATCAACGCAAAATAGTGATTTTTGGCAATTTTGAGATGTCCCCTCGTTGCCATGGTAACAGAAAATTTAAGCCTGAGCATGTTGTTTCAAGGGCAATGGTCCAGTCAACATTTGTGCCAAGTTTGATTAGTGTTGAAGCAGTTTTTATAGTATTATAGCAATTTGAACTTGTAACGGGAGACTTTTCAATGAAAACAGCCATTTTTCACAAAATGCTCATGAAGCAATGGGTTAATTGATAGATCCCAACTCTGACCTTTTATTTGAATAACAATAGATTTAACCACAAACAATGACATGTGCTCTTTTGTTAACAGAATGTTGTGGCAAAATTCTTTGTGTAATCTTATAATTAGAACAGAACAGAACAACAATTTTATTCATGACTTGTACAATAAGTACATCATCACATATACAAATATATACAATATGCATAATTGTCACAGTGAAATAACATATTTACATTTCATATCAATTATCATAATTATGAGGATGAACTACAATTAATTGTAAGTAAATGTAGTTCTAAGAGATAATGCATTTTTAATATACAAAGCTAGATTTTTCAAAAGTAACTTGTTTGTTGAATTTAAAAGATCTAAAAACTTATGAACGCTAGGTCTAACGTAGTAATAAGGTTTAATATATGTTTTTCTAAGCTCAACATAACATGGACAAATGATAATAAAATGATATTCATCTTCTAGATCGTGCATGCTACAATAAACGCAATAACGTTCATTCCTAGGTAACCTATTATTTCCAAACCTGCCAGTATGAATAAGTAATGGATGAGAAGACATTCTGATTTTACTAATAAAAAATCTCAAATTGCTTGGCAAAATGTCTAAGTACAGTTCATATGTAAAATTGTGTTTAATATTTGTATACAAATCTAAAACGTTATTGTTTTCCTTATCAACATGCCAGGTTTGGACAAAAATGTCTATAAGCCTCTGTTTAAACATAGGTATAAATAGATTTACATCAACAGATTCTGGGTTATTCCAGATATAATTAAAACCATTTTCGTTTAACAATTTCTTAACTTTTGTTACCCAGTTTGTTTTACTGTTATTACAATCATTTAGACTTATATTATAAACTTCCTTAAGAATAACGTTATCTGTTTTAATAATTCGAAACCAGAATTTCAGAATTTTAACATGTCTTAATATATATAATGGATAACGTGCTAACTCCCCATATACAGCTGCATTAGACGTTCTTATATTAACATTTAATATCTTTTTACAAAATTTCAAATGTACCCCTTCTATTTCTTTAGATTTGCCGTAGCCCCAAATTTCAGACGCATTTAATATTGAACCTACAAATGAATCAAATAGTTGACAAAGCAATTTGGGTTTCAGTCTATATTTATTACATTTTATTAACAACACATTAAGAGCTTTCAATGCTTTGCCAACGAGTTGTTCTTGATTGAGTGCAAAATTACCTGTATAATTGAAAACAGTTCCTAAATAGTTAAAATCATTTACAACATGTAACTTATGGTCTTTGTAAAAAAATTCCTCGGAAGGCAATAACCCTCCTCTTTTTCTAAAAACCATAACTTTTGTTTTATCAATGTTAACTTCAAGGCCCCATCTATCACAATATTCACATAATAAATTTAAACTTTTACATATTTCATCTGGTGAATTTCCAAGTATAGCCATATCATCTGCAAATAACATTAAAATCAGTAGAATTTCATTAATTTCTAAACCACAGTTGACGTCTTGTTGTAAAAAAAGTCAAAATCGTCTATAAAAAGAGAAAATAAAACCGGGGAAATTACCTCCCCTTGTCTTAAACCTACAGCATATTCAAAGAAATCTGAATAGGTATTACATACCTTTACACATGATTTAACCTTTTGATACATATCCCTAACAATACGCAATAATTTACCCTTCATACCTAGATTATGCAATTTAAACCACAATGCTTTCCGATACACACAATCAAAAGCTTTTTTAAAATCAACAAATACACAATATAAACGTTTGTTATGGTTAACATAATTTTGAACAATAGAAGATAAAACAAATAAAGCATCAATAGTTGACTTTCCTTTCCTAAAACCAAACTGTGCGTCTGACAGTATGCAATTTTCCTCACAATAGTTTGTAATTCTTTTATTGATAATGGACGTGAAAATTTTTGAAAAACAGCTAACTAAAGTTATGCCTCGGTAGTTATTTACATTATTTTGATCCCCCTTTTTATGAAGAGGAATAATAACCCCTTCTGTCCAACTATCTGGAAAATGCCCACTGTCAAGTATACAATTAAAACTATCACATAAATGAGATGATAAAATATCAATTGATTCAATGAAATATTCATTTAAAAGGAAATCGTTACCACAAGCCTTGCCTCTTTCAAGTGATTTTACAGCATTTATAATTTCATTTACAGTTATTGGTTGATCTAACAAAATATCACCGTTATCATTATCATAAAAATCATGCGTATTTGAAAAATACTCAGATTCCTCATCAGTAGTCTGAAAAATGTCGTTTCCTAATTCGGAAA